AAGATTGGTGTTTTTCATTTCTAATTGCCTATAAAAGGGTAATTTGTATTATGAAAATACTAAAATATTTTTAATAAATCTTATTTATAAAAAAAATTTAAATATTACATGCGGGATTGAAATTAAAGAAAAACATTTCCTAATTTTCTTTCACTAACTTTTATTTTTCTAAATAAAATTGTAATTTAAATCATTAAATAAAAATATATTTTACAATTTAGTTATTCTATCTCAAAATAATTATTATTTTTTAATTTTTTTAAATTAAAATTTTTTAAAAAAAATTATGTATTTTTTTATATTATATTTAAAAAAATTAAAAAATAAAATAAAATTTCTTGTGATGAAATAATTAATCAAAATAAATAAATAATAATAGAGTTAAAATAAAAAAATATTTATTTATTTTGAAAAATAAAAAAATTTTAAATTAATTTAAAATTAAAAATAATAATTACTTTAAATTAAAAAATAAATTATTTTAAACTATAAAATATTAATTTTTCTTGAAAAAAAAAGCCCATAATATTAGAGGCCTCATCATCCCTGTTTTACAGTCGAAATAGTCCGAAAGGCCAAAGAGTTCAACCACTATTAAATATCCCGAGTTTCTTTATGTCAGATGCAATACAGTTCATTATCCAACGATTCCTATTTGACTTGAGGATCCTGTGTTACAGTCCGAACTGCAACATCAAAATCATAAAAAAAAAAAAGGCAGGGTAGAGCCCAGTATCAGGGCCTACCATTTTTTTTTTCGGTTATGATGTTACAGTCCGGTACAGTCCGGACTGTAACACACTTTTTTATTTTCTTTCGTAGTGCTACGGCTCTTATCCAAAATTATTTCGTTTCCTTCGTTTGCCTCCTTTCGCTACCTAACTCTCACACACACAACATCTAACCACGAGAGTCAACAGAAACGCATCTTCTTCTTCGCAGAAAGCATCACCCAAAGTCGCCGATCTCTAACTTCTGCGGAGGGATCTCCGATAAGGTACATCTCCGTGCCCCTTCATATCTACATGCTTCTGCACTTCTTCCATCGTCGTCTGAATTCTGATTTTGATCTGCTGATGATTGATATTGGAGTCAGATTTGTGAGATCAATCGTACTCCATTGTTTAATTTGGTGGTATGATTGTTGAATTGTGAAACACGTATTTATAATGGATTAAATTAGGTTTCGTTTCTTATCCCCTTTAAAATTGTTTGGTTTCTCGCTTCTTGTCTATGGAAGTGGAATCAATCAGAAGTTAGCGTTTTGCTTAATTCCCATAACTTGGACCATTTTTTTTTTTTTTTAAAGAGTGGTTATGCGGTTCTAAGGTTGCTTCCAACTGAGATTCTACTTTCATGAGATATAGATTGATAATATCCTCACTTCAATTTGAGCCTTTGCCCTCCCTCATTGGCTCTAACTAGAGGATGGGGGAAAATGTAGAATGTAATTTAATTTTATTCCCTGCCTCTGGTCAATCTAAATCAACCCTTATACTTTAAAAGAATTGAACTTTGAAATATCAATTTAATTGTTAAAGCATGAAATTTTGGAATAAAAACACTTTCATGTGTATCTGTTTGTGCATTGCTGCATTGGATAGCAAAAACCTGAGATAGAACTCAGGTGTAAGTTTGTATTTATGGAGGATATGTAGAAAATTTTTTTCCTAGTGGCTACTGCTATATGCTAGGAATAGTATTGTGTTCTCAACTTAAAATGCTTTGACTTTTACAGCTGCACCTAGAAGTTGCCTGATAAGAGCTTTACTATTGGTTGCACATATGTATGGTTTCTGTTTCAATTTCCATAACTAATAAGGGCAAAAGGCATTTTTATACGGTTACAAACTTTTGATCCTTTCATGTACAATGATATAAACTTTTAATCAAGGATACTGACTGGGGATTTGCACTTGTACAGATGTCTTCTTTCCGAGCATTCTTGAACAGTCCAGTTGGTCCTAAAACAACTCACTTTTGGGGACCTGTTGCCAACTGGGGATTTGTGATTGCTGTATGGCTCACTACCTTTAGTAATACATAATCAAATTTTGGTTTATGACACTTTCACTTGTTAGAGTAACATGTAGCATGTTATACAATACAAACACCCTTCTTCATTCTTGATCGCTTGTATCTAATCATAATTAATCTGTATAACAGGGCTTGGTTGATATGAACAAACCTCCAGAAATGATTTCTGGCAACATGACAGCAGGTAAAAACATGATCTTTCTAGGTGTTCTTTACATAGCTGAGCTTCTGAGTTTCTAACTCTTCCCTACTATCTTGTTTCTGCAGCAATGTGTGTCTATTCAGGATTATTTATGAGGTTTGCGTGGATGGTACAGCCACGGAACTATCTGCTTCTTTCATGCCATGTATCAAATGAGACTGTACAGCTGTATCAACTTTCCCGTTGGGCTAGGGCTCAGGGGTATGTTGCATCTCTAATTAATTTTGGGAGCTACACTATTCTAAGTTTCTAATAGTTTCCTTCCTTATTCCGCCATCTCTTTTTTTTTTCTTTTTTTTTTTTGTACATAGAGACTAGGGATTGAACCGTAAACCTATGGCTAAGAGCACAAGTAACACTACCAACTGACCACATGACTGATAGTTATTTTGCCATCTTTGCAATTATGAATGCCTAGTAAAGATTTAATTGTAATATCTGAGAGGCTGGCTTGTAAATAGGTTGAATAGTCAATCAAAACTTAGGACTGATAATATAATATGAGGCCTTTGCTTGCCTTGCTGCTAAAAGGACATTTAGTTTGCCACTTTACCTTGCCTAGCCTTCTTTTTTTTCTTTAACTATCATTACTTTTATAATTCAAAGAAATGTGCTTAGTTCTTGTTTATTCCTATTTCCTGTTCAGTAGTTGACAGCTATTCAAGTTAGAGCATTTTCTCTTTAGTAATTTTCTAGCTGATGTTTATGCTTATATTCTTGAGGTCGACCATTAGAATCCCTTCAAATGTTCCAATATGTTTCTCATCGTTGTATGTGTTCTTGATTGTCTTCTTTTATCAGGTACTTATCAGAAAAGAAAGAGGAAGCCTCATCAAAGTAAAGAAGCTTCCCTTCCTATCTGGGTTGTGATTTCTGAAGGATGCATGTTCTGTATTTGCTTAAATATGCTGTTGAGTCATGTTCCGTTAATTTGACTGCCAATGTAGCTGACCCTGGGCGGATAATATAAGGGGTTCCTTACAAGTGCTTTATAATAATAAGCTTTGTTTTTGATTCATCAGATCTTTCTCGGATTATCTACATGCAAATGTGGGGTTAAACTATCTGTTAGACTAGTTTCTGATTTTTTTTTTTTTTATTAATTTCTAAATTCTTTTGTGATGTGCAGTCTGCGCAGGTTGGACTGCGCATCTTATTATCATTGACGAGGGGCTGCCCCCTAAATGTGGGGTTGGCTCCCCTAAACTGCACATCTTTTGACCATCAATGAGAGGCATGCCACCTAAATGTGGGTTGGTCCCCCTCTCCATTGGTCGTAAACGCAAACTGCAAAACTGCCATATCTTATAATGAATTCATGACTAAACATTTTTGTTTTGTAAAAGCTCTACGGAATAATAACCTAAAAGCTTTGGGAGTTCATCCATAAAACAAGGGTCTGGTTGAAGCCACGTTTCACCCCGGATGGTCAATTGATCGTGTCTACTCCTCTTAGTTGGAGCGGGGGTGAGGATAGGTGGCTTTCACATTTCCCTAAAAATGGGTCCTATTCTGTTTTTTCGGGGTATTATTGTGCATGTGGGATTGTGGGAACCAGATGCTGAAGTAGCTTCAGGTTCAACAAGTGGTTTTGGAGGAAGGGGAGTTTGGACGTTAGATGTACCATAGAGTTAAAGTTATGATTTGGGGTGCCTATCGTGGGATTCTGCCATCAAAAGACAATTTGCAAAGAACGAGGGTGGGGTTGTTGATAACGTTTGCCCAGTGTGTGAGCGGTCTGTATTGCATGGTCTTAAAGATTGTCCCATGGCTCAGGCTGGATGGATGGGTTTCGAATTAAATATCCGGACGACAGAGTTGAAGGTGAGTGATTTTGTACGCTTTGTTGGTTGTTGTGGAACAACCGAAATGAGGCACTGTGGAATTCTAAAAAGCTGATGCCGCAGCAGCTGATTGAGAAGAAGCAGCTTAAGGGTGGAATTTAACAAGGTTGTGGAGTCCAGAAGAAAGGACGATGTAGGGGAGCATGAACTGGAAGAGGCGATGTGGGTTCCTCCGATTGTTGGCTACTATAAAATTAACGTTGATAGTGCTGTTTTTGAGCAGAGTTGAGAGTATAGAATGGGGGCAATTCGAGATAATGATGGGAATGTCGTTGGTACCATGTTATGCGAGGGCCCAAATAGCCTCTCCATCATGGAAATTGAAGCATTTAGTGTTAGGGCAGCTTTGCAGTGTGCAATGGATCTGCATCTAGAAAGGTTTATAATGAAATAGATTGTATGAGTGTGGTGATGGGAGGAGGAAGTGGATCTATTACGACAGAGGTGGGGCAAATCTCTCAGGATTCTAGGGACATGATGGCCACATGGCAGTTCCTCGTAGCGCATTTTGACTCCTTTAAATTCAAAACAAATGGGACACATGATTCTTTCTAATTGATTTACAAAAATAAGTGTATATATATATATATATTTTTATCATCAGCAAAGCAAGTCTTGAATATATTACTTGGGAGTATAAAAAATACTCCAAACAGCATAAAGTATCCTTTACATACAGTTCATGATAATCTAAACAAAACAGGCAAACACTCTACGAACAAAATAGTCATCCATTCCTCATAGCCACCTTTGTAAGTTGCAGGATTCAGAATGTATGGAGGATTCAGGATGTAAAAGGAACGGGAAATCGTTATGCACACGAACTTGGTCGGAGACACTAGATACTGAGGTGGAAAAATGCTTCCTGAAACCTTTAATGATACAGGAACTTGTAATGAATGATAAGCAGCAAATGTAATCTTTTACTTTTGTGTAGCACTGAATGAATAATAAATGAGGCATTGACAATAAAAAATAAATAAATAAGCCTCGGGAGTTAATGAATGTTTTCAGACGAAAAATTTGTTGTCAGGCCAGAATAGACAAAAATCAAAATTTTTGAAAAACTTGAACAAAATACTAGAATAATATCAGAAATCAGATGCAAGAATCCAATCTGATTCTTGTAAGGCAGCCAAAAACAATGGAAGCAATGGCTCTTCGGTTCCTGTACTGATCAGAATCAGATCAATTCAAATTTTCATTTTATCGTTCCCTACTTGGAACAAGGGTACACTTTCCAGGACCAAAAGTCGAGACGACAAATGCCTTTGACAACTAAACAGATAATGCTCCTCCTCAATTGGAAAGACGCGAAGAGTTCATGTTTTCATAACAAAATTTCATCTCATTCATGTATATAGCAAAGAACGAAACAACATTAGAATGTAATGGCAAAACTGATTTTTGCTGAATTGCGGAGGACCCTCCAGGCTATGTTTCAATAACACATAACTAATAGCTCTTGTTAAAAAAGCAGCTCTTCAGTAACTGCCACCTCCTTTTGCTCCATGTGTTCTGTCACAATGCAACCAACATCCAGGACAGGCCCGAGCCCTCATAGCATACAAAACCATGCATCCTCTCTAGCTACTCATCATCCGCAATCTCAGCTTCTACACCTTTGCTTCTTTTCCTGGATTTTGACTTCTTGGTTCCTCCATCTTTGTTTACCACCTTATTTTTGCTTTCTTTTTCTTTAGATGATTTCTTTCTTTTCACAGGTGGTTTTTCTTCATCATCCAAAGTTTGCATCTCAATGCCAATCTCTGATTCACGAACTTGTGAATTGGTTACAGGGTGGACAATCTCTGCATGTGAAAGACATCTAATTAGCGGCCAAGCTAGAGAGGGGAATAATGCTATTAATTAAAACCATAGATTTCCCATACTCATTCAACCTCTGCCCAACACCAAATGAAAGGCATGACGTTTTTAAAGATTATTACAAACCAGTACCCTTTTCTTGATACTGCCCAAGGAAAGAGCCAAGTAATAATGACAATTGTTGCATTGCATTTGGCCAATCAAGGAGCCATGCCCACATGAAGACAGACCCCACCAAGTTCCAACCACTAGTTGAAGCAACAACTAAGTCATACCCTCCCCTTTTGTTAGTGGAAGTATGTCATTGTTGATAAGGCCACTAATAGAGGTGTTATTGAGATCTTAAATTCCTTACGTAAAAATTGCTTCCACAAAGCCAATCCAAAAAAAAAAAAGAATTCCTTCCTTAAATTAGGAACTACAATTGGCCAAAAGAAAATTACAAACTTCAAACATGGCTAAGGCTTAATTTGACAACACTAATCTGTAGCTGCAACTGTAGGTTTTTTGGTCCTTTAAGACCCTAAAAATATATAAAATATATTTAATATTTATTTTAATAAATATTTTATATATTTTTAAAATAGTAAAAAGACATAAAAACCAAAAAGTAAAGCACTGAGAAGTGTTGCCAAATGAAGCATGAGACCTACTCATTGGCAAAGCATTCCAAATGACATGCACCACCATCCAAAAACCATTTTCACCAAATACAATTACAAAAAAATAAAAAAATAATAATAAAAAAAGTCAGTAGTACAACAAATTGAATAAGGTATAACCCCCACAAACGATCCCAACCCTCAATCTCAAAAAGGCATTGACAACATTAAAAAAGGATGATAAAAAAAAACCACTGACCTTCTTCAGTGAAATTGGTATCAAAAACAACCTTGGTAAGATGCTGCTTCAAGAAAACCTGTGCCCAGGAAAGTAGGTAATTAAGTGATTGAAACAACCTACATGAAGCATCTTCATTATGCACATTTTAAAACACAAACTAAAAAGGATTATAGACTGTTTTGGGTTAGAGTAAAAATCCTATGCTCAATTTGAAACATCTTAGAAGCAAGCCCAACTCATTGAATGCATTAAACATACAAGAAAATTTTTTTTAGTGTTTTATGATTATGTTAATCAGTACAGTAGTGAAGCATAATTTCAAGATGACTCTAAACTTTAACTCTTCTGCAATTATTTAAATGATTCCAACCAAATTTTCACATTGCTGCACAAGTTCATTTATTTTCCTGAAGAAATCTTTTGTATTTCAATGGAAGGAAAGGATTATTGAGCACCACCTAGGTAAAAAGCAAGAAAACCTTTTCTTAAACAAAAAAAAAAAAAAAAAAAAAAAAAAAAACTATTATTGCTTCAGAAACCAAATGAGGAATATTAGTATTTGAGTGCCCACTATCAAATAAATCTCAAATAATGTAACAAATCAAAACTATTGTCAGAAAATCATTGCAAGCCTATCAATGGATGCACAAGAATAAAGCAAGAGCCATATTTCTAAATTAGTGAGAATAACCAGTCTATTGAAACGCACTTAACCATTTTTTACATTGGACACACTACACAAGAATGAAACAGGACTCAAAAGTAGTTCTAAATTGAAAGTGTATGCATGCAATCCAAGTTCCAAAAACAAAAAATGCAAACAAAGTTCCACCAGTCAAATGAACTATATTCATGATTCATGACAGGATTTTAAAACCTAACCTGTCTGAATCCTAAAAAGAGAGATTTTTACTACTGGCAGAGAACCTGTATACAAATGTTGACTGATTATAAATAAGATTGATGAAAACACATCTGATGAAAATCAGAGCACAGTTTCCTTGAAGAGAGGAAATGAGGAATAAATCTAGTCAACATAGTGTCAAACAATTCAATCCCTTGGCTTACAAATGAAAAATACTCCAAATATAAATCATATAAATCCTACTCTTTGTATCAAAATTTAAATAATTAATTTTTAACATGGACAAATAAACACATAGAGAAAATTTATTTCATATTATCATGCTTCTAGACTAGACATAGACAATACAAGACTGTAAGTAGTAAAACATACTGCTGAAAGAAGTTGCCTTGTTTTTATATCCCAAATGCGCAAATAGCTGTCTAGACCTAAAAAGTAATCAAAATTTTCAGTTAGTTACTAGATATATAAAAAATAAATAAATAAAGAACCACAAGACAATAGATACAAGTGTAAGGAGAAACAAAAAAAAAAAAAGAGGTAATTTTTTATTCATTGTTTATAATAAGACCTTATATTCCAATAACAAATTAACTTCTTTTTTTTTTTTGGAGAGAAACAATTATAAATATCACATACAACACAACCTTGGGAGGGGGGTTACTTTTATGGGGTAGAGAGTTCACTAAATATTTAGAATAGTAGCCAAAGATCATCACTTAAGACACAAGCCGTAAACATTTTATCTTCCTTGTTTAGTACTTGAGTCATATGACCATCTAAGATTTTAGCCAACTTCCAAAAGCACTATATTATCTCAGTTGTGACTATTTTCTTGAGGAAGCATAAAATCAACTGCCCAATGAATGGAAGAATGATATTTGCATGGAATGTTTCCAAACGAAAAAGCAAATATTGGTAAAATCAGTTATAACTAGCTTCCTACTTATTGCTAATGATTAAAAAGATGTAGCTTCATAGAGATTTAGGCCACATACCACATGAAGCAATCACAGGATGTTCAGGGTGTCTGGCAATTGATCTGATACTTCCTGAACATTTTCCCAAAAAGCACCCTAACAATTTCCCTACAAGTAAATATTCCAGCATTAACAGGATTTCAGACAAAGAACCTTAAATCATTTAAAGAAAAATCAGTTAAAAAGAACAAAGCAACAAGATGTGGTTAAAGCATATTTTAATGAACTACAAAAATAGAAGACACCCAGAAAGCATTAGTAACTTAAACTAGGGGGAAATATTTGGTCAGTTTGGTTTTCCAAATTAACCAAATAGAAATTTTTTAGATTTTTAAATGAAGCAAAGTAATATTCAAAAACCAAACCAAAATGGAACCAGACAAAATAATTTCAGTTATTTCGATCATTAAATATATCTTCTCCATTTTCCTTTGAAAACATTGTTTTAACAATAGTCATGTTTTCACAGGTCGAAATTAAACAAAATATTCAAAATGTCAATATAATAATATAAGATAAAACCAAAACTAAACCTACAAGTACTAAACTAATAATTATATTCAGATTCTAATTTAGGGATGGGTTGCCTACCCATTAGCCACCTTACCAATACTATGTTCCCCATTGATAGTATATTAAGAGGTAATTTGGTGGGCTTTTCATTTCAAAAATTCTGGTTGTTCTGCATAATTTACTTGTGATTGTCATTCCTTAATACAATATTCCTTTTGATGGCCAAAAGAAAAATTAATAATAAAATAATAGTCAAGTCAGTTAATTCAAGTTTTTTTTTTTTTTTTAATTTTCAAACCCAAATTAACTGAAAAATGAAATTATGAAAACCTCATGTTAACTGATATTTTATAACTTTTGGACCAAACCAACCAAACAATGTGTCTACTTTAACCAATTGTGATTCCATATATTGCCTGAATAAGGTTGAGTAGGGGATTTATGCTATGTCATCTGCATCTGCTAAAAGTCCAACCATGTCCTAACAGCTTTCGGTACAAATATTATGTCATATAAGCTCTATCAGGTACAAGGAGATGTCTGACGTCAAGGAAGGAAACCAAAGGTATCCATAGATATTGAGACACCTCTATCTGTTATAATTGGGATAAGGCACAAATTAGCCTATTTAATCTAACCACCAACCATCAAATATTATCTGTCAAGTTCCTACTTAGATTCCATCTTGCAAGCTCAAAAATTCACAAGTAAACTGTCACCAGTAAAACACATTGAATCAATTTAAAGTTTTAAACTTTTTCACAAATGAGGCTAGTTTATCTGACTTCCAACCATCACACAAGTACGAAGTTTCTACTTAAACTCCATCTTACAAGCACCTAAAAAAGGGGAATCAAATTAACTTGTTCACAAGAATAGGACCAACCAACAATTGGAAATGCAAAAGCACAAGACAGCATGTGAGAGATGCAGCCTGTAGAACATAAAGATGGAATCAAGTTAGTACCTGTACGTATATCCACTGAAGCAAGGTCACCACACCCATTCCCAATATAGACTGTATGTCCATCTAGATCTTCAGTGACTGCTTTTATTGGAGTTTCCCGAAAATCAAATGATATAACAGGTCTCCTCTGAGCAGAAATATCATAGAGGCGTACCTATTCCAGAAACCAAAGATAAGATACAATCAAAAGGCAAGGGAATGTCAATTCATAGAACTACTAAAGAGGGATGCCGTGGACACCCTAAAAACAGGATTCAATTAAAAGTTCCAAGTACAACCCTAGTCATATATGCAAACAAGACTGATGAAAACTTGTCTCCTTCAGGCTACCTAATATTCCATCAATTTTTGCTCTCAGAACATGTAGAGGTACAAGTTAAAATTTAGTATATGCCAATTTTTACAAAGTCCAACAGAATGAGGTTTCTAAATAAGGACAATGCACAATCATGATGCATTACTGTTTGCCAATAATTTTAAGATGAAAAATATATATATATATATATATATACATATACATTTCTTGAAAATGGAACACCACAGCCAAGCATGAAGTTAGCTGCGTATGAGAGTGAACACAAATCAGTACTGTCATCGTTCTACCACTATCAGAACATTCAGGGCTTCCAAATGGGAGCAAAAGATTACCTGATGGTTGTTGGTGCCAGCCACAAATTTACGGTGATCATCTTTGCTAAGGAATGCTACAGATGTAAAGCAAGTGGGGGTAAAAATACCAAGACTGTTCTTAGGAGGCTGTACAGAATAAAAATATCAGAAATAATAAGGAAAAGGAGAAAAACTGCTTGCTGAAAGGCATATTTTCTTTGTTTCTTTTTTTTTTCAATGGAAAAAATGAAGAGATGAAAAGGCTCACAGGTTTTGCAGTCCAGATCTTGGTACCCTCTTTAAGATCCCACATATTAACTTCAACATTTTTCCTGAAGCAGAAACATGTAGGTTTTGTTTACCAAATGAATAATTTATTAAGCATCATAATATCCTGGAAGAGGATGCAAGTTTCCATAAAGAGAAGTACAACATAAAACCACTCACCCTCCAAATAAAGAATAGTTTTCACTTCCATCAACTTGAGAACACAAGATATTTCCAGAGGCAGACACTTTCCATGTTTTTGAAGAACCAGAATCTGTTGGAGAATTTGTAATTTCAAAAGATCTCACACTTGCATTGCCTTTTGTTGTACACGTAAACAAGATGCATGACCTAATAAAACCAAACTTAGATAAGCAATGTTACATCAAAGGCAGAAGAATAGCTCAAGGGACCATCTGCATCATTTTGGAAATGATGAAAGCAGAAGTATAATTCATTCTGGCCATCTAATTACAGTTTAGTCTAGGCAAAACATAAAGAGGAAACAAGATCTTCAACGGCTTAATATTATAAGAACAATAAATCCAAAACATTTTTTTAATTTAACAGTTTTAGCCAAAAAATCCCTCACATGGAAATGCAGAAGCACTCATTGGTGAAAGACACAAACAACCATTTGTGTTTGCTTCTGAGGGAAAATGCAGCCTAACATTGACAAGATAAATGGCATAAAACATACCTTGATGCTGAATCCATTCTGTTTTTCCTGAATAAATGCAAACCAACTATGGCATCATCATCAGGTCTAACATTAGCATCACCACCATTGGTGACTGCACAACAAAGTTCACCACTAACAGGATTAAGTATCTCAACCTGCAGCAATATGTAACGTGCAAAGAATGTTCAATAGTGGTCTTAAGTGAGGGTCGGGAACTATCAGCAAAAGGTTGGAGAGAAGAAACTCACTGCTCCACTTTTTCTTGCCACAGCCAACAACTGTCAGAGAATAATGAAGAGATGGCTTAAATATTAAAACTTATGTAAGGAATGCTAATGGCAAAGAAAAAAAGAGACACAGACAGAGAGAGAGAGAGAAGTAGCAAGAATAACTAAGCTTTTGCTGCAGACTAATTTTCTGCAGCAACACCTAACAGATAGAAAACGATAACTTGGTTACACACAAGTACACAAACAGAAGGGTTGACCATTCGGCTCTCAGACTATTCCAATAACAATAGCAGCCTAGGGTCCTTCAATTGACTATTGATTTTAAACAAGCATATATGATAATTAAAGTGTCAACCAGACAATATACACAGCCCAAAGGCATTTTAGGTTAGCCAAACAAAACTTACAATGCACATTTGCATTTCAAATCCAGGAATGAAAGAAAAAAAAAAAAAAAAAAAAAATAGAGTAAAAAAAAAAGGAAAAGAAAAGAAACCTTATATTTTGGGCCCATGCATCTACTACCCAACCGTTAGTAACATCAGCTTACCCCTTTAACTCAAATACCCAAAATTTGCAACCATAATACATTACTTGCCAATTCCAAAAGCTCAAAAACCAAAACCCAATAACTGACAGGAATTTAAAATAACAGGATTGCAATTTTAATATAGAGAACATAAATAGTAAGCAAATAAAAGGAAGAAGGAGGCAACATAAACCGGTTCAGTTTTGCGGTCGTCAATGGAAGCTGCAAGCAGGGACTTGGAAGCGTCAGGATCACCCCACTTCTCTACCACCTTAGGGACCCCTCCTTCCTTACCACGTGCTTCAATAACTATAAAGAAGGTAGAAAATGAACATAATTAGAAGAAGAAAACTACAACTGAAGCTGGAGTTGGATTCTCGTCTATACTTTTTCAAGCTGAATATGAAGGAGAAAAAGACGCAACCTTTGATGAGACCGAGAGCATCGAAGGTTAGGGCTCGAAGAGGAGGGCAACCAGGGCACTCCAATGCTGTCGTACGAGGCATGTTTCGCTCTCCTGCAAAACTGCTGGTATGCAATTTCGAGACAGATGTTGATGACAACTTAAAATTAAAAAATATTGAAAATTTTATCTCGGAAGCCCCTGGTGAACAAAGTTTTTTTCTCGTCTTGATTTTCCGGCGACTCTTCTCCTTCAGGTGAAGGGCGTATACTGTCGGCTCAAAAGAGAGTTTCCTCAGAGAAGGATGCGAGCTGCCGAGGAAGAAGGGCCAGAGAATGAGTAGTCTATCAAGGCCAAGAAAAACTTTATGCGACGGTCATCCCGTGTGTGGTGGAACAGTGAATAAGAAAAAGGGGATGGCAAGGATCGTGTGGCGGAAGCTGACGAGTGTTTGAGAATGGCGGTCGAGAATCCCTTGGGGGTGTCGGTTGAGGATGAAGATAAAAGTAGCGAAGAGGAATCGGAGATGGAGTGTGCAGCGGTGGATGGAGAGATATAGGGGAGAATCGGTGAGGTCTCCAAGAGGCCGGCCGTGAGGAAGAGATGGAATGGGTGTGCGTGAGTTACTGCCGAACGATATCCCCCTTCCCTTCTCCCTAGGGTTTTAAATTTTT